GCTGGAGGGACTATGTCTGGCCTGGGAACGCCTAGGGGTCCCCCCGGAAGAGCTGGGGGAGGTGTGTGCGGATCAGGAAGTCTGGGCGGCTCTGCTCAGGCTGCTGCCTCCGCGACCCGACTCCGGATAAGCGGGAGAAGATGGATGGATGGACTGTTGATTCCAAACATGTTGTGGACCATTCACAGCTAGTCTTTATCTGATTTGATTTCTAGTTGCTCTGGCTTTGACCATTTTATTTCATAACTCTGAATTTCTGTCATTTTGTTTCATTTCTGTGCATGGTCCACCAAAATAAAAGTGCAATACACTAAATGCAATGACTTTTTAGGGCCTTCTTAGTAACAGGATGCTGCGTTTCGACAGTTTTACCCAGCAGATGTGTTCAGACAGTTTGCCATTATCATACGTCTCTTACTTTTGCGTAACAGTGGCATTTTACTTTACTGTATGAACACAAAGGTAGGAAATAAGATAAAGCGACTCTGCAAACACTGCATGAGTTCAACCCCTGGTCATACGGTTTACGTTTGTCAATGAAATAAGGCTTACTGAAGACAGAGTGCCACAGAAGAGATGAGAAGTCATCTGACTGACCTGTCATGCCTTTTCTCTAAATGCATAATGAGAGGGAAGTGGTGTGTACGTACGAGCCGCGGTTTTCTCCAGGTTTTTTAAGGGCAGCTTTCGGAGGGGGTGGGTTAGCATTTTCACACTGTCTGTTTGAGCTTATCATCCGTGACAGACGATTTTTTTTTCTCGCCATGGACTTATTTTCTCCTTGACAGTAAAACACTTTACTGCAGCCTTCACAACGTCAGGCCGATTGAACTGGGATGATCCAACAGCTGATTAATGCTGAAACATTGAGCATAAATGGAGCAAAAACACTCACTAGCCGAGCAACATTCAGGCTACAAAAGCGACTCCATTCAAAAACAGCATCTGATCGTGTAACTGTCTAGTCAGCCAATGCATGAGCAGCACCACTTAACATTTTGTCCCTTCTCTGCCGAGCGGTGGAGAACGTCGACTCTCAATGTAGTGTTTGCGTTCATTCGGCTTAGGCGCTGCGTGAAAATGTTTAGACACCGAGTCTCACAATGACCCTGACAACGGGGTCACAAAGTCACGGCTTCCAGCATAAATTCAGACTCTGTGACATTTTAAGCTCCTTCCTCTGTTCGATCTCTTCATCCCACGCTTTCATTGCGCTCCCTTCATTCCCCTCTCATCAAACCCCACAGCCGGCCTTACAGTAATCTCCAATCCCGAAGGAATTCCTCTCCTCAGCTCATCCATCCATCAATCAATCTCTCACTCTCCGCATTTATTCGCTCAGCTGCTCCTTCATTTATCATGCTGCTCACCCTACAACCGTGTTCCTCCTACTTTGCATTGATGTGCTTTTTGTCACCACTCTAGGGAGTCGTATCTAACCTCCTCCCTCCCCCTTTCCTGTCCCATCTTTCCTCCCTTCCTCATGCATTTCCCTATCTGGAGGAGCCCAGGTGCACACTTCGGGGCTGTATTAATAAATAAACAGCTATGGCAGTGATTTATGATTCGCCAACGCCTCTCCCTGACTCTCCACCCCCCATGGCTGTGCATCATCATCAGAGCTTAACAAATCCATCTGGGAGGATGTGTTGACATTTGCTCAGGAGGTGGCATAAGAATGAGCTGGGGCAGAGCAAAGGGGAGCAATTTGTGTTTTATGAGAGCAGTCGCTGATGTACAGCTGAGGATTTGAAATTGAACTACACACATCCACACAGTGCTAAAAACAGTAACTTCAGGTTGTTGTTTTTTTCTCGAGGTGTGTCAGAAAAGTTCCAGGACTGGTGTCACAAAAGATAGATTTCAAATCCAAACTACAAACTACAAGTTTTCCCCTTTGAAGTAATCCCCTGAAGTCTAACGCACGTTCCCAGCCTTCTCTATCACGCCGCCATGAAACTCCTGGAAGGATTCTTCCGGGATCGTCCTCAGCTCCATCTGCACAGCCATCTTGATGCCGTCCACGTCTTCAAAACGAGCTTGGGGAAGAGGAAAAAATCCCACGGAGCCAGGTGGGGTGAGTAGGGAGGTTGCTCCAGCACGGCGACGTTCTTCTCAGCCAGGAACTGTCGGATGTTCAGGGCATTGTGAGCAGGCGCGTTGTCATGGTGAAGCAGCCACGACTTGTCCTGCCACAACTCTCACCTT